CAGTTTGTTGTTTGTTCTCAGTGAAACTGTAGGTCAGAAGGACCTGTTCTTGTACTGCAACAGCAGTGTTCAGTTTGTTGTTTTGTTCTCAGTGAAACTGTAGGTCAGAAGGACCTGTTCTTGTACTGCAACAGCAGTGTTCTGTTTTTTGCTCTCAGTGAAACCGATGGTCAGAAGGACCTATTTCTGCAATAGCCTTGTACGGCTGTACTCTTTTGGTTGTTGTTTCAATTTTTATTCTGATATCATGGGCAGTGAAGATTCAACCACATATGGAGTTTCCTCAATGCTGAATGGAATGGGTGGGGGTGACCTATCCTTTCCTATGGCTGTCCCTCTTGATGGTTTAAATTACCTGGAGTGGTCAAGAGGGATCAAATTATACATCACTGCAAGGGGGAAGATAGGCTATATTAATGAGAGGATAAAAGAACCATCCTCTGGGAGTGCTGAATATGATAGATGGAATCAGGAGAACAGTATTGTTATGTCCTGGCTCTTGGTTTTCATGCAACCTCAAATCAGGAAAAATTTCATGTGGGCTGAAACTGCAAATGAAATCTGGGAACAAGCAAAGTCTACATATTCAGAATTGCGACACTATGCCAAAATTTATCAACTGCAKRCARYATYWTCTACTTGTAGACAGGGGGAGAGGTGTTTATCAGTTTATTACTCTGACTTAACATCTGTCTGGAAGGAGTTGGATCACTACCAGAGTGTGGATTGRAAGTGTGATGAGGATGCTAAGAAGTACAAGCAGCTTGTCTCCCAGCAAAGGGTGTTTGCATTCTTACATGGTCTGAATCCTATGTATGAATCTATCAGGGTTCATATTCTTAGCTCTAAGGATCTCCCATCTGTTCAGGAAGTTTATGATCTTGTATAGTCTGAAGAAAGCAGGAGAAATTTGATGAACAACCCTAGTGGGGATGCTGTTGTGTTGATTGCAAAAGGGGGTGTCTCTACTGGTGTGGGATCTTCTTCCTAGAAATGAGATCTCCAGAAAAAAACAGAAGATAAGGAAAAATTGTGGTGCATTCATTGCCAGAAACCCTGACAACCAAAGATACCTGTTGGGATCTTCATGGGAAACCAAAATGGGCTCAAGATCTGACTAAGAAGCAAGGTTCAGAGGTGAATAAGAAGTACRGACAACAAARTACAAAGAAACATCACATGGCCAACATGGCTACTCGGGAGAATCAACCCCCCATTTCTACTGTGACTCAGACACATCTCATTGGACCTGACCCGAGGGAGGACATTATGAACTCCTTCCGT